CTTGAGATAAGGCCCGAGCAAAGGCGAATGTCGCAGTGAGGGCAGTGGTGGCTACGATGCGCAAGTTGGGCCTTAGGGTGGCCCCCCAGAAGACGCAGGCTGTGTTTTTCTACGACAAGTCTGCGGGGAAGCCGCCCGTGGCCCATATAGAAGTGGAAGGCACCCGTATCTCCGTGGGGGCCAGCATGAAAGTGCTGGGCTTCTAGTTGGATGGCTCCTGGGGTTTCGGTGAGCACTTTGCTTGCTTAACTCCCAGGGCAAAAGGTGTGGCAAATAACCTGGCAAGGTTGATGCCTAACCTGGGAGGAGCAAGCGGTCGTGCTCGCCGACTATACGCCACAACCGTGCAGGCCGTGATGCTTTACGGCGCCCCAGTTTAGGCGCCGGCTACGGAAGGGTCACGCGTGATTCAGATGAAGCTGCGTCAAGTTCAGTGTGTGTGTGAGTGACGTAATCAGACCAGTCGCAGATATTAGGTTGAAAATTTTAAAAAGGCGAAATTTCTGGATTAGATACGTATCTATAACGCCGGAATAAATCTGTTGCCCACCGTCACCACGTGGAGGTACCCTGATTGCATAAGGATTAAGTTTTATTATGAACTTTTTTCAAAACGTTGGCAAAAACTGAAATTTCAATATTTTTATTTGGTTCTAGTTCACACGATAGCCACACATCCACAGATTAAGAGGAATTTTTTTTTTTTTTTTTTTTAGAATGAACTGGAGATCCGGAATCGTGGGTACCGTTTTTTTACACAGTTGTCGTCGGGGCGCTCTACAGCGGATTCTTGGCCATATATCAACTTGGAAAAATTTCTAAATACTCTTCAAATATCAATAAATATGATGTAAAAGTTAAAAAAAAATGTATTCTTATAATTCCTTACAAAAAATTCCCTTAAAAAAACAATCTTTTGACCAGACGACCCCCTTAAAAACATTATAACTTGTACTACAAAATTTAAAAATTCAAACATTGATTTTTAATATTATAACAAAATTCAGTATTACAATTTAATAATATTATTATTATTGAAAAAAATATACCTAATATCCACATTCCTTCACGAAAACGTCCTTTTTCCTCCGACCAATTTTACATTCGTCAATTTCCACAATTATCCCAGGACCACCAAGTAACCCTTCTGCGTCATGTCGTCTATCAAGAGTTGTGGCACAAACCTCCCTACAGAACGAAAATCTATCCACAATTGTTTCAAAAGAAACAATCTCACCATCAATAAGACTACATTCATGTCTTGTTTGCTCCAAAAAAAATTGCCACGCAAAAGCATATGTCATTATTACGCAGCTCTCAAGATTTAAATGACAACGTTCAAACCACGTATTGTGTGTTGCTGTAATAATGTGGTCGTATTTACCAGATTTATAACACTGAAAATAACCCAAACTTCCTCTGGTTTTAATATAAATCATCTTTTTTTTATGTTTAAGGGCTTACACCTGAGTAAAGTGACCATATTTTGGAAATTTTTTTTTTCGGGAAATAATTGCTTTATTCAAAAACTTTTTTTTGTTAAAAAGAGCATGTATTTTAGTACGTTTGTGAATTTTTTAATTAAAATTTATTAACAATAAATATTGTTTATTGGCATCAGCGTAAGCCCCGTTTTTTTGCGGTGTTCACCATTTTGGGTTGTCACGTCATCTGGTACAAAAATATGCATTAAATTCCTAATTAGTTATATACAAGACAGTTAGCTACGAGCCAAAAAAAAATTAAAAAAAAAAAAAATTCGGAAAATGGCGGCTGTTTGAAATTTGAAGTCGATTTTTGACCTATTTTTTTAAGTTACCAATGCATTTTTTAAACATTTGTAACAAAAAATTTATAAAAGTTTGATCGTAGCTAATTAGACAAAGCATCCGAGAATATCGTGTCCAAATTTCAAAAAGATCTATCGATCCGTTCTCGAGATATCGTGAACACCGTTTTTTAAAACCATGTTTCGAGAAAAACGCGTTTAAAGTTTGAGAAGAGATTTGGATATCATTAATTGTTTATAATGCTATAACTTGAAAACAACTCGTCTTACGAAAAAAATGCAAAAGACAAAAAAGTTTTATTTTGACTCGAAAATATTAGTAATAATTAAAAAAAATTTTTTTGTTAATTAACAATAAAATTGTTAAAAAAAATTTTTTTTTATAATTTTATTTTTAGTCGGCAATTCCGGAACCATATAAAAGTTCTTCGATGACGACTTGAGGAGAGGCTTCTCGAAGGACACGAAGTCCTGAGAGGAGAGAGCTATCTCGCGATACCGGCGAAAAAGGCGCGATACCGCTACGCTCCGCTCCGCCCCGTTTCAGTAAAACTTCCGTAACTTCTACAATTCTTCGAATTTCTTAATAATATTTTAACACAATATTTTTGAAACTATATATTTTCAAGAAATGCAATAAAAAGAAAATCGATTTTTTCAAAATTTTACTCAGGTGTAAGCCCTTAATACACTATTTTTCTGTAGAAATCAATTGAATTTCTCTAAGCCACTCAATTGTCGTTTGGCGATTACTCAATTTTTTAACTAAAAAGAATAAATTTATATAATCCGACATTTTAAATGGTTATCCAAGAAACACGTTTGCACACAGCTCTTGTCGTAAGCGAACTAACTCAGTATATTACAAACCAAAACAGCTCTCAAGTAATGTAAACAACCATAAAGTCATACCCGTCAAAGTCATAACATAAACATCATTGGCGAAACTTCAGAAAATCAGAAACGTTATAAACTACAATGCACAGTTTTCGAGATATCAATTTATATAATATCACATACGCGGTATTCATAGTCAGACAATCTTATATTTAAGATTGTCTTAAGTTTATCTTTAGATGTTGAACGACTTGTTTCATTGGCTACGGAGTATCAAAAGATAAACTTAAGACGATCTTATATATAAGATCTGACTATAAATACCGGCCAAAGTATAATAATATACACAGAGTTAGCGGTGAGAGAAAGAGAGAGAGAGAGAGAGAGAGAGAGAGAGAGAGAGAAACAGTACACACGTAAGCGAGGGAAGGGCTACCGCAAATCCCCCGAAAGCATGGGGAAGTGGGGTGAACCTCGGTTCGCGTGAAGTGTATGCGTGAAGGCAGTAGGTTCCGCCTCCCTGTGGGGAGCTCCACTATTATTAAACTAGACACATAATGTGCCTCCAAAATACATGAGTAGGTGAAGAGTCTATACATTTGCGCCCGGGTACCCCCGCGGGGAAGCGGGGTGGGCCGCGCGCACGCGGGGGGAACGCCGTAAGAGATTGGCGAGGGGGTCGAGGGAAAGGGTATAGGTTCATCGGAGGGGGAAACTGCGGGGGAAAAATTTCCCACGCGATTTACTAATAACTGGACAAGTTCTTATCGCTGTCCAATCAGATTTGAGAACAAAGACTCGAGGCTGTCCAATCAGATGACAGTATTTTGTGGTAACCTGAAAGACGTAAAGTCCTTAGGTAGGTGATGAGGAATTCCGCGCCGCAACGTTGGCACCGGGGTGGGGGGATCGTCGAACCCAGGCGCTCTGAGGGGACGCTCGGATCGGCGGATCTGTGTTATCGAGGGCGTTATCGGTCGCGCGCGGAAATCGCGATTAATTTTTTACGCGCGTTCGGACGCGTTTAAACTTGTTCGAACTCGTTCAAGGTCGCTCTGCTCGACGCCCGCGCGATGGTGTGGGTGAGCGCGCGAAAACGCGTTCGAACGTGTTCAAGATCGTTCTTTTTTTCGCGGTCACGATATCCGTTCTTCGTTTTTGTTCGTTTCGGTTTGAAGGTTGTTTCGATCCTTCTCTACGCAATCGTAGATGACGCAATCGCGATGATTGTGAAGTAAGCGGAGTCAGGGGATCTAGGAGCGCGGGATCGTATCGAGATAGGTACGGATCTGGAAAAAGGGAAAAGAAAGAGAGAGAACACATATATGAGATATCCGCGTACGAGCGGTCGTTTTGTTTATTTTGAAAAATATATATATATACAAAAGTCGATATACGCGTTTACATTTTTTTGTGTATGAATACATATATTTGTAAACATGCGTCGTGAGTCGTGACATTAGGATCGGAAATAGAGCGCGGTAATTTCGCAGTCAACGATATTGATAGGACCGAAGAATTCGCTTTTCAGTATCGCAGTTTTAGCCGAAGTTCCCGTCTTGATCGCGTTGGCAGCTATTTTCCGATAGCGCGAATAATTCGCGTCGACTTCCTTGGTCGCCGCGCTCAACGCCGAGACGACGCGATCGACGCAAAGTTGGACATCGTATAGCGTGAGCAGGGTTTTGAGCGACATCGCCAGACGAGCCGCGTTGGATAGCTCCATACGTAAGATCGGCAGGTTGTTGATCGATGCGAATCGCAACGTCATCCCACCGATCGATATCGGTGAGGGGGGGCGGGTTCCATCGGCGAGGTTGGATTGCAGACACGACAATATGTCGCGTTTACGCTCGACTAGCCCTTTCCACATATTGAGCGTCAGGGAGACCTCCCTGCCTTGTTTATCTCCCAGAGCGATATCCATGTACGAAGGCGTATAATGTATACTGTGCCACTTAATCGTGATACCTATGGCTATGTATTTGTAGCCAGTCGTCGTCAGCAGATAACGCGTCGTCAGGATGCGTACCGCAGGCAAGTCAACGGGCATGTCGGTGGGAAGGTGAGAGCTGAACCACCGCGATTCCCGATGGTGATGATGATCGTCCGCCGATTCGATCCTTCGTCTTTTGCCGTTGTCGTTCACCTCCGAATCCGTCTCGCGAGGGGAAAGATCCCTCGGCACGGGTCGATCGCTCAACGTCGAGAACATTTCGCACACACGCTGTAGTATTGTTCGTTTCTGATTTTTTTCCGATGCGTCGTATTCGGCTGACGATGCGTTACTGATGCTTTGGGGGGAACGCTTCGGTATAAGTAGAAAAGTTCTTACTTATATCGCGCAATGTGTGGTGGGGATTTGCGCGGCCCTCTACTTCCTTCGGTTGGTACGACGACCGGAAAGCTGAACGCCCGAATCGTCGTCATCGTCCGAATAGCTCGCCGGTGACGTTAAATCGCCGACGCGTACGATTCGATCGAGAAGATTGCGCAACTGTTGCAACAGTTCGGTTTTAGGACAAACGATATTCAACATCCGTAGATCGAATTTACCGGCAGCCGTGACGGTTTTCGTAAATTCGTTGAATCTGTAGAACTGCGTCCGAGTGGTGAAGTACAGATTGCCGTCGACGTATCGGAAGATCAACGTTACGCCGGTCGGTATTCCGGGAAACGTCGCTTCGAGAGGCGTAAATGTGGCAACTCTCTTGTCGCATTCGTCTATCTCGCCCACCGAGTTACCGTTGAACACCACGAAAGAACGTCCTCTGTGGGTGTTTACCGCTCCGTTGATCATCGTTCGTGCGGGAAATCCGAGTTTTTGCAAGGTCCTCGGCCAACTTGGTCGAAGCGTAAATTCCGGATATTGAACCATGTATACCAAATTATCTACGAACACCATGAGATCACCGGACGGGGATTGACAGGCGGTGGTTACGCGCGTGTAATTGTCGTGAAGAAAACTCATGTGATTCGAAAGGGCTAGAGGTCCATTGTACGTCCTACCGTTGAGATCGATCGACCAAACGTAACGCTTGTACGAAATGTACATACGATTTTCCAAAATTAATATCCCGTTCACGCGATCAAGGGTGCACAGGTCCGGCATTGGCGACGGTGGTGGTAGCGGCGGCGGCAGCGCCGGCGTCTGCGGGGGTTTGTTCATATTTTTTCACCGTACATACGTTGAATGTCGAGAATGTCAGATTTGTCGAGCTTAACCGGATACTGCTTGTCGGGCGTGAACGCAAACATCACCGATGTTCTGCGCTTATTGTGCGACAATCCGAGAGAGTGGCCGATCTCGTGCGTCAGCGTGTAATGCAGGGAGAACTTATCCGCGGGATGTTTACCGACGTGAATATTAATTAATTAATTTAATTAATTTAATTTTATTGCAATGCATTAGTGGAGGATACAGTTATAAAGAGTAGAATGAGTGCACGCAAATGGTGAGGCGTCAACAGATTGTTGTTTCTAAGCCTACCAGTGGAGACAGTGAGTAAATATAATACTAAAATACAAATATCTATATATAATACAGAAAGAATGGTTCGCTCACGGGAGTAGTTTTTGTCGTTAAATGTAATACTAAATACTAAAATATATAATACAGAAACAATGGATTTGCTCACGGAAGTGAGTTTATATCATTAGTACAATGGTTCGCTCACGGGAGTAGTTTATGTCGTTAAATGTAATACTAAATACTAAAATATATAATACAGAAACAATGGATTCGCTCGCGGGAGTGAGTTTATATCATTAGTACAATATGTCGCAGAACCTAAAATATAAAATATAAAATATACACGCGGTGACGCATAGGATATACGTACGCACGCACTCGAAACATGTACGCGTTAGCAGACACGACATAACGTGCAAGCAATTAACGATGCGCAGGCTAAGATGCATTTCTGGCAGAAAGTGCAGTCGATAGAATATAAGTGGACGTAGCTGTACGAAAGGGAGGCAAGGCAGGTAAGGATCTTATGGAAGAGGGAAGGTCATTATAATACTTGACTGCACAATAGGAGAACGAAGAGCGAAACTTGGTGGAGTGATGCGATGGAAAGGAAAGAAGATCAGGATAACGAGTATTAGGGGCGTCAACGGCATGGAGATCGGAGTTCAGACGCAAGAGACGTCGGAGGTAAGGAAGAGTATCAGACTGAAGAAGACGGAAAACCAGGCAACAAAGATGAAGCGTAAAGCGTTGTTGGATTTTTAGCCAACGGGAGTTAGAATAGAGTGGAGATATATGGTCAAATTTCCGGACATTATAGGAAAAGCGGAGACATGAGTTTTAAATGTATTGGATACGATTCAACAGTTGCTGGTTAAGTGCCGGAATATAAACGACGTTGGCGTAGTCGAAGAGTGAGATTACAAGCGCCTGGGATACATAAAGCTTCTGAGAGGTGGAGAGTATGTGCCGGAACGGGCACAGAAGACGAAGCCGAGCGAAAGCAGCCCGGCATTTTACATCCACGTGCTGTTTAAATGACCAGGAAGAGACGACGTGTAACCCAAGTATTTTAATTGAGGATGATAGAGATATGGGTACGGAGTTTAGTTGAAGATCAAAGGATTGAAGTTGAGACAACAGCACTGGAGAACCTGCGATGAGAAGCGAGGACTTGGAAGGGTTAAGGTGCAGCCCATTAGAGGATGTCCATTTAGCTACCGCTTCAAGGTCGCTGTTCAACGCGGCAACGGTAGAAGGTACGTCCGACGGACGGAACGTTTCGCGAAAAATCACGTCGTCGGCATATTTAAGAAGTTCAGCAGAGAAAAGAGTGGAGCACAGATCAGCAATAAAAATGATGAATAATAAAGGTCCGAGAACTGAACCCTGAGGTACGCTTGAGAGAACAGCGCGAGTAGGGGAGAAGATAGGCAAGGGATTGTATAAGAGAACACGGTGAAAGCAATTTATTAGATAAGATTTCATAAAGGACAAGGCTGAAGGAGATAAGCCGTAGTACTCAAGCTTAGCTAGGAGAATATAAGGGTTGACCGTATCGAACGCCTTCGTGAAATCTAGAGCAATCAGTGCAGTGAGGCAGCCCGAGTCAAAACCCCGCAGGACGAAGTCGGAGAGGTAGAGAAGCTCTGACACCGTGCTATGCGTGCGACGAAAACCAGATTGACACTCCGGAATTATCTTCTCTTTGTTTGCAAAAGCATATAGTTGAAGGAAGCATATGCGCTCGAGAAGTTTGGAGAGAAATGGAGGGAGAGAGATGGGACAAAGAGAGGAGAAAGTGGAAGGGTTGTGAGTTTTAGGAATGGGGAGGACAACTGCATGTTTCCACGAGGAGGGAAAAGTATTGGAGGAGAGGGAGTAATTCAAAATGTGTAGAAGAGGCTCGAAACATTGAGGCAGGCAGAGAAGCAGCATACGACCAGAGAGATTGTACGGACCGGCAGAGGTGAGACGTATACGCTTGAGGATATTGTAAAGCTCAGTGGGAGTGATTGGAATAAAATTGAATGTTTCGGAAACATTGAAGGATGAGGAGGTAAAATGACGCAGCGTTTGACGAGAGCAGGAGAAGGAAGGAAGAGAATCAAGAAAATAATCATTCATAAGCTTAGGATCAAGGAGATGAGAGAGTAAGGTATGCGAGGGAGATGTTGTCCCTCCAAGTAATGAGAGATTTCTCCAGAATTGACGAGAGGAGTTAGATGAAAAGGAATTTGTAAGATAAGCCTTCTTTTCGCGGCGTATGGCATAATTTACCTCATTACGGAGTTGCCTGTAATGGTGCCAGTCATGCTCGAATCGAGTGCGCTTATGACGAAGAAAAGCCCGACACTTCAGTGATATTAGTTTTCTGACGGCGGTGTTGAGCTATGGAGCCGGCGGACGCGATACGCTCTTCAACGTTAACGGGGCGAGATGGTCGAACACGGTCATTATGGAAGATGTAAAACAGGCGACCATCTCGTCAACATGCACCGCATCGAACACAGGCGACCAGTCAGCCCTGAGCAACTTGAAGGAAATGTCAGAAGGCTGAATGGCGTGGATACTGCGAGAGAGGATGATGCGACCGCGATGCGGTCGAGCTATTCTTAGAGTCGCCCAGACCATAAAATGATCACTGATATCGAGCTCCTCGCTGACGCCGCAGTCGACCACCCCACACTATGCGAGATCAAGATAAGATCAAGAATGGATGATGTATTCCGTGTAAGACGCGTTGGCAACTCTATGAATTGTCGAAGGGAGAGGTTCGATGCTATGTCGCATAGCAGTCGAGCGTTAGGTTCGCCGGCACGGAGCATGTCGATGTTGAAATCGCCCATACACACAATCTCATCAGCGCTGCATGCGATGTGAGACAAGCGCGTTTCAATGTAATGCATGTCCGAGACAGGTGAGCGAGGAGGACGGTAAGCGCAGATCACAGCTACGCATCTGTGTGCCAGGCGAAGGGAGACAGCAACGATATCCACGAGTGTGCCAGGAGGAGGGACACCAAGGTCGATCTGAGTGAAAGAAAGAGAGTTATTAATATATAACGCGACGCCCCCGCCGCGGGAGGCGGTAGATCGATCGCAGAGAACAAAGATGAACCCGCTTATGTCGACGAATTTCGTGTCAATTGTGTCTCGCAGCCAGGTCTCGCCAATCGCTAGAATATCAAGTTGATGATAGGCTGCGAGATCTTTAACCAATGTAAAATGGGGCAATAATGAACGCACGTTGATGTGAGCGACGCGAAGTGTTAGTCGGCTGCTGCTGACACCAGCGCGATCGGTCCAGTACGCGAATGACGTCGGACAGGTTCGGGACGCGCCGATGAGCTCACGAAGGATGAGGCGCGGGGGTGCTGGAGTGAATCGGTTGTTTCAATCTCCGCAAGCATTGAGTCCTGCGACAAATAGCGGGGAGAGCCATCCGATGTTCGAAAATATGTTACCCCTCGCCTCATTCACACGTACCTGACGTTATGTCTTTTGGCTAGCTGACGAGCCTCAGCGAATAGGCGACGTTCAGACGCAGTAGAACGCTCGTAGAAGTAAACTCTGGTGGATGGCCATGAGCGATCGATGTTGGACGCAACAAAACCTGAGCCAGCACGCCGCCGGAATTTAGCAAGCAGCTCATTTTTCTTGGCAATTGTGGTAAGTTTAACAACAATAGGACCTGATGACGGATCCCTTCTTCGAATTCTGAAAGCGGTGATAACCTCCGAGGATGTAAGCAGCGTATCGAGCGAGGCAGCAACGCGAAGCACAGCGTTCGCGCAGTTCTCAGGCCTGTCAGTCGGAACGCCGAAAATTATAAGCTCATGATCCCGGTGGTCGTTGACCATGCGCTCGAAGCGCGCAGTCAGCCCGTCAGACGCAGTCGAAGGAGCAGCCAAAAGGCGAGCCGGCGCAGAGGTTGAAGCAGATGCTGCCTCGAGCCGGGCAACTCGCTCCACCAATGCAGCTTGCTTAGCCGACATAGATCCAAGTTCGGCAGATAGGCCACTTATCTCGGCTGTAAGACACTCGATCGCCCGCTCGGTGTCCTCCAGACGCCGAAAAGCACCCTTAAAACCGCTCATCTTGCCATTGAAAAAATCTAATTTAAGGTCAATGCGATTAACAAGAGCGAGACCAGATTTAAGACTCGTGATTTTGCCGTCCAGGGTGGTCATGGTGGCAGATAGCGTAGATAAGGCTTGCCTCACGTCAGAGAGGGAGGCAGCAATGTCCGTTGGTCCACTCGACATTAAAGGGGTAGTCGGCGTCACGAGTGCTGGTGTGACAGCTGTCGAGGGAGCGGATCCAGCAGCAAGAGGCGACGATTTGTCCCCGACAACGCAACCCGCGTTCGAGCCCGACGGAGACCGACTATTGTCCGTCTTACAGTATGTACATATGAGCGTGCGAGCGAGAAAACGCTTACATTTAAAACAGGTCGACTGACTCATGCTTGGTACGGCAATATTATTTGCAGATACATACAGAAAAGTATTTACAAATAATGACCGAGACGAAGAAAGACAATGTCAGCAAGTAAAAACAGTGATGTTGCGAAGAGTCGTTACTTTACCAGATTCGAATTTCGATGTACTTACGAAAACAGAAAAAGGCAGCACGACAAATAAGCAGCAGATTGCGAAAGACTCACACAAGCCGTCGCATAATCAAAGGCAGCAATGCGACAGCGCTGAGAGACACGGAAAACACAAGATAACGGAAGGACGCGACGCAAACACTCAGAACAGAACAGTCTCGCGCATCGCTGACTGACAGTCAGTGAGCAATTCCCGAATATAATATGTGCACTCTAATTTTTCGGTTCCAATGCAGCGGAGTTACTATAAAATAAGGTTGTGCAAATAAGCACAACGGAATATAACACTAAAACACACCGATAAATTTCAACAGGCAGGAGCGACACGCGAGAGATGTTTACACGTCAAGGTCCCGTGAGCGATTCGCATAGGATTCCTATGCCACGGCTCGTCCCCGTCGACGTGTACCTCGGAGACGAACCCCGTTTCGTCCGTCGGGAAATACGCGTGGGCGAGCACGTTACCGGGACCGTCGAATTTGGCCGAGCAATTTGGGCCGTTTACGTTGATATTTGTGTTATCGTAATGTAGGGTTCGCCAAGATATTATAATGTCAGGATTCGTTTCGGAGCGTTCGAACATCAATGCCGAATGCTGCGACCACAGGTCGAACGCGGACAGCACGGTATTCAACTCGCCCTGAGTGACTACGTAAAAAACCCACGTCAGGTGAGTCTTCGGCCATTTGGATAGACTCGCTCTCGTTCCGTGCTTCAGGATATCTTGGAAACCACATCGCGGTTTACGCATCAATTGCAGTGTTTGGTTGTCGAGCGTTCCATCGCCGGGCAGACCATAGTATCGTTGAAATTCCTCGATGGCGTTACGAAGAACGTCGTTTCGTCTCTGAGCCAGAAACGCGTCCACATCTTCGGTCAGATATCCGTATTTCTGCAGGTAATCGATCGTATGTGCGTAATTTTCGTCCGTGGGATTGATGCACCTCGCGGTGATAAAACACGCGGATAACGCGATTACGCGCGCGAGCCACATCGTCGAGAACGAGAGAGAGCGAGAGAAACAGCGGAACTGCGATAACGGCGTCTCGCGATATGAGCGCGATCGCGACGCGCGGTCTACGCGGTGACGCTCGTTGCCGATAGCGCGGACAGGTGGCGGCGGGGTCTCGGGTCTGAAGAAATACGTCGATTCCGGCGGATAAATCGGTTTGATAAGAATATGCAATTGCTATTTTTTAAATTGTTTTTATTACACAATATCCTACTTTTATTGGCGATGACGGTGCGGATATGAGCGCGATCGCGACTTACGCGGGATACTCGTTAGCGATAGCGCGGACAGGTGGCGGCGGGGGTCTCGGGGTGGAGAAATGCGTCGGCGATTCCGGTGGACTTTGGCCGGTTTGATAAAAAAGAAACGCAATTTCTCTCTATGCAAAACGCTATTTTTTTATATATATATATATATATATATATATATATGTATGGGGCATTCTTTCTCAAAATAGCCACCCCTCTGCACATTTTATTTTTAAAAATAAAATGCTTTGCGAGATCTCGAAATTTCCGTCGAAAACTTGATTTTTGGATGCCGTATGGCGATTTTCATTTACATTCAAAAGTGGGGCAGTATGACCAAAATATCGCTCAAACCATCCTAAAAAATAGGAAAGTATGCAAATAACATCAAAAATCTTAGCAGTTTCTATCAAATTCGATGCAACTTTGAAACAAAATGGTTTATGACATCTAATTAAATAGTTTTTAGACGTTACTCCCCCTTATAATCAAAATAAACCCTTCAAAACCACCCCTGAATCATCATTTCGACAAATTGACAATTATTCTAAAACAAATGGAGTAAAAAATTTAAATAGAGTTCACGGGCCGTGAAATTTTTTCAGAATATATTTTAATCAAATTCACCGCCATAAGGATCATAACCAATCTATAAAAATCATCTCCTACACATCATTTAGACAACTAGGCAATTATTCACAGGCAATTAAACATAAAACTTTTTTATTAAGTCTACAGGCCATAGAATTCTACTAGAATGTATTTGGATCCAATTCAACCTCATTTTTAGGGGATGATTTTTAAGGGTTGATTTTGATCATTATGGGTGTGAATTTTATCAAAATACAATAATTTTAAAATCTCGCAAAGCATTTTATCTTCAAAAATAAAATGTGCAGAGGGGTGGCTATTTTGAGAAAGAATGCCCCATACATACATATATATATATATATATATATATATATACCCAAGTAGCAGATGATATTTTTTAAATGTTTTTTTAAATATTTATTTTTCATTAATTTTATACATTGTACAATTCATTGTAAAAAAAATTTTTTTTAACATTTATTGAATATTTATTTTACATAAATTATTTGTTTGAACTAATGATTTAGATGCTCGACAGCACACGGATGTGCCTTTGCTTTGGTGTGCGTTGGCAGCATGAGGAGGGGATGCGTTGCTAGCGCATGCGCAGAGGCCATGTTCTGTTTGTCGTCAGTGCCGTTAACGGCGGCGGCGTCGGCCTGGTCGGCCATGTTGGCGTAGGTTCTATACGATACGAGAAACCTGTGCAACGACGCTTAATCGAACCGACAGTTATCGGTATAGGTAGGAACGGAATACAGGCCCCGCGCATCTCCCGATCTCCTCCACATGCTGCCAACACACACCACAAAGCGAAGGCATATCCGGTGTCACACATATGTATGTATCTGGTATATTTATAGTCAAAGTCGGTAAATGGACGCGGCGTCAGAGTCGCATGATCGCCATTTTTACTCAGTGACGAGTATGTATGGTTCATCTATATCTATGTATAATTCGAAGTTATATGTATAATGTGGCTTTATAATAAAAAGTCAAAGTTTTAATCTTGCATTTTATAATTTATATATACATATATATATTTATATATATGTATATATGTATATATAAATGTACATATGTACATATATATATATATATGGGGCATTCTCTGTCAACCGGACACCCCCCTCTGCCCAAAATTTGTGTCGACTGATTGAGGTCAATGAGGGCTCAAATTGTAGGTAATGATATGTAGTTTCTTGTACCGTGTGGCCTTTTTGAGAATTCAAGATGGCTATCAAGGTGTCACGATGATAATCGGAGAAAACAAGAAAAAATCAGTAAACGACTTTCCGTATGCCACACAATCAATCAAAGAAACTCTAAAACTATTGATGGAATGGTTTTTGAGGTCGTTGATTATGAAACTGAAGTAAAAATTCTAAAATTCAAGATGGCGGATCAAATATGGCGACCAACATTGCAACGGCACTTTTCTATGTTTCGTAAGGCTGCTCGAATGGGCACTGGTTACGAATCTGCTACCAAAATTGAAAATTCAAGCATTTTCCGACCAGTTGAAGTAAGACTAAGCGTTGTCCGACCAGTTAAGGCAAGACTGAGGGACGGTCCAGCCGGTTGAGGCGAGACCAAGCGTTGTCCTGTCGTGAGAAAGTGTCGTGAGAGAGAGAGAGAGTGTCGAGAGAGAGTGTCGTGAGAGAGAGAGCGTCGTGAGAGAGAGTGTCGTGAGAGAGAGAGAGTGTCGTGAGAGAGTGAAAGTGTCGTGAGAGAGAGAGTGTCGTGAGAGAGAGAAACTGTCGTAAGAGAGAGAGAGTGTCGTGAGAGAGGGAGAGAAAGAGAGAGAGAGAGAGAAAGAGACAGAGTGTCGCGAGAGAGAAAGTGTCGTGAGAGAGAAAGAGTGTCATGAGACGTAAAGCGGTTACCTGTTCTTGGTGTGAATCCGGCTAAACAGTCCTCTAGTCTTAGGGCGGCGGTGTGGTCTAGTGGTAGAGCGCCAGACTCGTAATCTGAGGATCCAGGTTCGAGTCCACTAGAGCCATGAATCATGGAAAAGTTTTTTTCCGAAAAAACCGCGCCCCTCCGTGCAAGATGCGGAGAAAACTGAACTCCGTCTTTCGGAAGAGACGTTAAACCGTTAGTCCAAAAGGAGGAAACAGTAAGGTAGTGGATGAATTAGAGGTTAAGGTTGGGTACGTCCCTTCAAACGGCCCTTTAAAGCCCCTTAGGGTATATAAAGTAAAATTCTTTATCCAGTCCCCTAGTTTTGCTTTAACTGGTCGGACAACGCTTGGTCTCGTCTCAACCGGCTGGACCGTCCCTCAGTCTTGCCTTAACTGGTCGGACAACGCTTAGTCTTACTTTAACTGGTCGGAAAATGCTTGAATTTTCAATTTTGGTAGCAGATTCGTAACCAGTGCCCATTCGAGCAGCCTTACGGAACATAGAAAGGTGCTGTTGCGGTTTTGGTCGCCATATTTGATCCGCCATCTTGAATTTTAGAATTTTTACTTCAGTTTCGTAATCAACGACCTCAAAAACCATCCCATCAATAGTTTTAGAGCTTCTTTGATTGATCGTGTGGCATACGGAAAGTCGTTTACTGATTTTTTTCTTGTTTTCTTCGATTATCATCGTGACACCTTGATAGCCATCTTGAATTCTCAAAAAGGCCACACGGTACAAGAAACTACACATCATTACCTACAATTTGAGCCTTCATTGACCTCAATCAGTCGACACAAATTTTGGGCAGAGGAGGGTGTCCGGTTGACAGAGAATGCCCCATATATATCGTTTTTTATGAAATACATACCCTTACGAAAAAAACACCCTAAATAACACCTAAAAAAACACCCAAAAAAACACCAAAAAATAATAGCGTAATTTTGGATACCCAAATGGCGTTTACACCATTTGAGCGTTAACGCCAAGAAAAACACTTTAAAAAACACCAAAAAATAATAGCGTAATTTTGGTGTCATTTTTGGTGTTTTTCTTGGCGTTAACGCTCAAATGGTGTAAACGCCATTTGGGGATCCAAAATTACGCCATTATTTTTTGGTGTTTTTTTGGTGTATTTTTGGGTGTTATTTAAGGTGTTTTTTTCGTAAGGGTCTCTATAAATATTGTTAACTTCAGACGCTTCCTTATTACTAAGACAGTCCTTCGCAATATGTCCTGCTTCTTCACATCGAAAGCACGTTCTTTTTTCTTTCTTGGGCTCCCTGCAGACCTTCGACAAATGTCCCAATTTGTTGCAGTTGAAACAGCGAATCCTCTTCTCCTGTTGCATGTCCTTATCCTGCTGCTTCTCAGATTTAGCGCTTGACTTTTTACCATGTGTCTTACGCTTCGAACTTGCCTTGGTATCATTCGGAATGTGAATCTTCTTAAAGATCCGTCTACAATGGAAGTAAGCAGTAATAAGTAAGGAGTAGAGTATGGATGGGTGTAGAATATTACTACGTTTCTGTCTACAATAGCAGGAGTAATGACTAGCCAATCACAGTCGAGCAGATAGTATAAAGAACTGTAGCAAAAGATTTAGAAAATTGTAATTTCCAGAAATTCTTTAAAGTTTACAATGGAAAAGTGAAACTGTCGGAGTGGGGAGAATAAAATAGCAAAAATAGCGAAAATTTGCTAAAATAGCGAAATATGGCGAAATGGGTCATTCTCATTTTCTACTCTTTACTGCCCTACTGACAGCCAATCAAAGACGTCGAGACAAGGCGCGAAAAATATGTATGTGCCGATGACTTGTGCCGACGTGATACAGTTTTTATTTATAATTATAATATAAAATGGATGATGAATATTATGTGGATGGAGTTTATGGCGTTGGTGGCTTTGAAGAAGATGAAGAAGAATATATTGGAGACGATAAAATTAATCGTCAAAAAGAACTTGTTGCCATTGTCAAAGTTAACCCACCGTTATGGGATAAACGGCAAAAGGCCTATTCTGGCAAGAATTTTAATAAAAAACTTGCGTGGGAATCTGTGGTTGAAGTGCTCGGAAATATGTCTGGTAATAATACCTGCGTTGTATCTCTGATATATATGCTATACCTATCTTGCTAGAATTGAGGTTATCGCACTGGTTTATGTTTGTAGGTTCAGAGGCCGAAAAGGAGTTTTATAAAATACGGCAGAAGTACGGAAAGGAGCGACGTAAAAT